CCTGTTTTCCGTCTAGGACGTCGCCTGACAGGATATTGCCACCATTCAAAGCAGCCATGAGGCGCACTTTCCTATGCACTGCGGTGAAATCTTTGACAATGAACATCTGGCTTTTGCGCAAGTCCTTGGCCAGATGAAATGAAAAAAGTCAAACGAATACAAAATGAAATATGATTCAAACGGTTAAAATATGATTCAAAATGCCAAGTTTCATCCGAAAAGGTGAAGCGGCCAATGCGGTTCAAAGTGCTCTTCCACTTGTCCCGGGTTGCGGCGTCCACTGTCTTGTCCAGCCACACAGAACCCGGAAGGTCTTGCAAAGCGTTTTGGTGACTGACTGCCTTGCGCATATCCCGGAGAGATTCATATGCCTTGAATTTCTTGGCCCGGTTCGCATCGGAAACGGTTTCTGCTTTCTGTTTCTTAGCAGCCAAGGACATGAGCTCTGGAGTGATTTCCTTGTCCAATAACAATCCATCCTCCAAGGCCTCGGCCTTCCTTTTTTTCCCCAAATCACGCTGGCGAGCTTCTTCTTTTGCCAAAGACTCAGGCAACTGAAGCCGCGGCTTTCTTGGCGGTGTCTGAAGTTCTGCTGCAGCTTTCGCCACTGCCTGTGAACGTTTTCTGACCCAAGCAGCTTCAGAAGCAATGGACTTACAATTCTGCCTTCCTTTCACCCCAGCATCAAATCGTTTGCCTTTCCGCACACGGCATTGCTTGGATTTGAGCATTTCTGTGTAGATGTGCTGCGCTCTTCGCAAGATTTTCTCCTGCGATGCACCCTCGGACGAATCGCCCATGACCACGCACAGGCGTTTGTCGGTGTCTTCCGTTGCCGAAGCGAGTTCAATCGGGCTTCTCTTGACTTTGCTGAATAGTTGCTCCACACCAGATGTAGAAGCGCTCCAGGCAAAGTACGCACACAGGACCTCCCGAAGTCACCCGTTAAAAAATGAAATTAAAGCTTTCAAATTTAAAAATACCTTGACATTAGGCCAAGTCACCTGGCTCAGAGCTTGTGACTCGTGGTACCGCAGACGAAGCTGAGCTGTGGCACGAGTGCGATCCATGGCAGCTTTCCAGGCAGCACGGTTGTCCCGCGCCCCTTGCTTGAACAATGCAGTTGCTATTGGGACTAAGTGGGTGTACTGCTCCTTCAATTGGCCGAGGTTCACTTTGAAAGCTTATAGCCAGCTTTTGCAAAGCATCTTCTTGCTCACCGGTGGTCGTGCTGCGACGGGTGTCCAAATGGAACACGTCGAAACAACTCAACAAATGCCAACTTGGAAACTCAGTCGCTAAGGTAGCTTCAGCACCTTGAAGCCATTCCTGCGCAGAAGAGTGCAGCACAGTGACTCAAAAAAACAAATAAACTGAAAAATACTGTCAGTCATTCCTTTCAAAACAGACTCAGACCTAAAACCTGCCTGAAAGACTTTCAAGGCTGCCGATTTGTCTCCCTCTGTGACACGAACTTCTCGAGGCACAGCGCCCATGACAGTCAGCGGCCGTTGTTCAAGCTGGTCAAGCATGTGCTTGGTGTAAGTCGGCAAAGTGAAAATCTTCTTCTCCCAGAAGAGAGAACGGCATTGCAACGAAAACTCCTGCACTTTCTGGTTGATTTGCGCGATGTCAGCATCTTCATGGTCCAAGAAGCGAGTGAGCTCCATTGCCGTTGCCGCAGCATCGGCTGCCATTGAGAGCATGAGGGCTTTCCTAGCAGTATATTCATTGAGAATGCTGCTTGCCCATGCTCCGCCTGAACCTCGCATGGCTTCGATACGGTGACAGACAGTCAGCATGGCCTGTTGGTTCTTGGAAATGCGAGACAGCGGCTGCAAAAAACTGCCGAAGCGATGCTTCGCCGCAGCTATGCTTGCAAGGCCGGGACCATTGTCATCGCACCCGTCATTCAGCGCTTCCTTCCACCACATGGAGAATAGCGGCGAATGAAAAATCTTTTGACCGAAGGAATCAGACGACGAGATAAACTCTGACATCACAGCTTCAATTGCCGGATGGTGATTGAATGGTCTCTTGAGGACACGGGTCGACCCATGCGCTCCATCGCGACCGACTAAGGTCAAATTTTTGAAATCACAAGAGTTCAAAGTGGTATTTGCGTATGACCTTCGCCCGCGCAGCTGCTCAGAAGAAAGGAGCTCACTTGGCGCAGCATCCGTGACCATGATAGTCACATGGTCCTTGATATGTTTGACAAGTGGGGCGCCATGAGGGCCCTCAGAGTGGGGCTGTTGGCAGTCTCGAGGTAGCATATGGAAAGGAGAGCAGAACTCTTCTAAAATGCTGTTGGTTGCCTTGGCCAAACTATCAGCGCTTCCCTCCACTGTTTTGAGGCCAAGCACCCCGGAACACACTGTCAAATCATCTCCTCGACAGGCTCGGAATCGAACCAACAAACGTCCTTTGCGCTCGTCGCGAAGAATCGCGATGGAACGGGCCTGCTTTAGATGTTCACGGTTCTTGGCCATGATTGCTTCACTCAGAGCAAACCTGAGCCTTTTTTTTTTTGTCTGAGCAGACCCCTCCTTGCCTTGCAATGCCCCCTTGTTTCATGTGGGTCAAAGCAGCCTGAAACTCATCCACTGGTGGGCCTGTCCCTCGTCCTTGAGCAATGCCTTCCTTAATGGATTCAACATGCGACCGAGAGGCTTCGTGCCGTCGAATCATGCTCCGCTTCAAATGCAAAGGGTTTTTTTGGAACTCCGCCCATGGGCCACTGCGACCTGCGAGAGCGCAGTCCGTGCACCCTAGTGCAACTTGCTTCTTTCGCATCCCCAGTTTCAACCACTTAGGTTGATCCTGCTTGGTCAACTCATGCCACTTGCATACTCGGCACCGGGCTTTCTCACAAGCCTTAGCATGTTGGGCAATGAGCTTCTTTGGTAGCAGAGAGGGCCTGGCAGAAGTCGCCTTGCATTTACTGCCAGCCATGGTCAGGGAATCACACACTAATACGGATGACCACCTTCATATGCCAAGTAACAACCCTTGAGAATGACAGTTATTATAAATAAATCTATATATATATAT